GTCAATAAAAGGTTGAGATCTGTATGATTTTGAAGAAAAAGCAGAAGATACTTCACCTATAAGTATGAGACAGGAGTTCATGATGGATGCTGGCAGGTTCATTTCTCCCCTGAGTTCCTTGTGATGTTTTCACAAGTATGGCATTAATCTCTGCTCTAAAGAGGAGCTCTCTCTCTGCAAGCATTGCATCTTTTAAGCTGAAGTGATACTCTGAAAGTTTGGGGATTTTTTTTTTTAACCTTAATGAACTTGCCAATTGTAAATACTTTCCTAAATAGGAGACACTAAGACTGTCTATACACATGCTGGGGGGGTGTTACATTTTAATTAGAGCAGCTCTCCAGGAACTGCTCTAATTAAAACACTAGTGTCACATGTAGTATTCCTCCACACATTTAAAAATGACTGTGTGATACTTTAACTAAAGGTCATTCAGTGAGCTTTAGTTAAAGCACCCCATGGCCGTTTTGAAATACAAGGGGGTTTAATACATGTGACACCGTGGCAATGCTAGAGTGTTCTAATTAGAATGCGTTGGAGCACATCTATAGGCAGCCCAAAAGAGATATTGGTTACCAGGATAGACCAGCAACAAGCAGTTAGCCAAGGTAAGTTTTAGCATGCACAAAGCAAGCTTTTCTTTGTTCCTACTGTCTGCTGGCTCTAGGTAAATCCTATACTGAACTCATTTAAGTGTATACAGTGATTCTTAAAGCTTCTGTCCTGGCTGCTAGTGCCCCTGTGAGATTGAAGTTGTCTAAGGGATGAAGCATCGAAAAAAATCTTTACACCACTTTGTTATACATACGACAAAACCAAGTTGTAGGATTTTTAACAGCAAGTTTTAGGGTATCTGTGTTTTTTTTTCTCATTTTACAATATTTTGTTATTGATAAACCAGTTAATAAATATTTTCTTTGTGAAATGGTTTAATTGTTCACTTTCCCTTGAGTTTGCGATTCAGTAAACCTAGGAAACATCTAAATTAGAGAGGACTTCAGTGATGACAAAGAACAGAGACGTATGTGCAGGCAGCCGGTACTAGGAAGTTACTGTTCTAGAAAGTCTCAATTTTCTTTTTCTTTCTTTTCATTTTCCTATTTGAGCACACGGTGGTTCCTGGCAGTTTAAAAGTTCTGGTATTCGGTTCCTTCTGGACTGTGCTAGCAGTTCTGACTGAATGCGCCTCAGCTCAAAGGAGGAAGCAACACATTACTTTCTAAACTTAATCATTTACTTTAAATATTTGTTGAATTTATGGCTTTAAAATGTTGAGATTAATTAGTCTGGTAATGTTACCTATCTCAGTTTATCCTCACAATCCTTAATAGCTGTTGGTATGGTAAATGTCTTTTCTTACCCCATGAAAGATAGAGACTTAAATAAAGAATGTCCTTGTTAATTTCTAGGTAAGAAGCCATATTCTCCATTTGTCTGACCAGAAAAAATACACTCAAGTAAAAGGTAGCATGAGCACAAGCCTGTGCTTTGCCCACCCTTCTTTAACTGAGAAAATACCTTCAATGAATGTTGATGATAGGAAACCTACACTACCCTGTCAGGGCTGGCCTACAATTTTCAGCATTTCATTATCAGAGTGTAAACCACCATGAAGACATGCTGACCCCTTCCTTCTCATGAACAGTTATATTCCTAAAATAATTACAGGACTATCAACTATATAGAAATTGCACACCAAAACAGTGACCAACACAATGTAACAAAACCTTAACTAAGTTGGTCTGCTGTCAGATCTTTAAAACATCAAGCTTAAGCTGAGGCATTTTTAAGCAGAATCTCAGCACTGTAATACTAATGCTTCTTGCAATGGTAATGAATTCAAGGCCTAGTGAAAACGCACAAGAGAATTTTAACCAATTTTTTTTAATGAAATCATAATTTCCCAAGCAGAAAGCAACCATAACCACCTGAGATACTGTTCCTGCCTTGGTTCAAGGTAATTTGCATCATCACAGAGCCTCACAAGAGAGCCAAGACACTCCTTACCAGATTAAGACCTACCTCCCCAAAGGAGCTTTCCATCTGTTGACTCTTCTGTGAAATATGAACTTTCATTTCTACCCAGGAGAACTTTTACAACCTTTTCTCCAGTGCCTAATGAAGCGTGTTTGTGCCCAAATGCTTGCAATTAAAGAAACTTTTTTGCAAAAATGTTGTTGGTCTAATAAAAGGTATCACACCTTTACCATGAGCCCTGACTGAGGAAAAAAAAGACATGTCAATCTTGCTCATTCTGCATGAGCATCTTCCTTGCATTGGGGTAGCTGGGCTGAAGTATCGGTTGTTTTTTTTCCTGAGCTCCATCTCAATCATATGACTCAACTCTAAAGCAAGGATAGATGTAGGGAAGCAGCTGCTCTCTCTTCTAGGAAAATGTGGAGAGCACTTCCCCAAGTCACCCTTATGTTAGCAATAGCCACAGCTGTCGTGCAGAACAGACCGTACCGAGTGAATTGGGCACAGGAGCTGAACACACTGGAAAGATTTCTGCAGGACTGTCCCTATGCCAGTATTCTATTCCGTGTCTTTCTAGCTGGGATGTATACAAATCACCACTTCATTGTTCTACTCTTTCGCAACTGAAATATAATTGAGAATTCACTATTAGTCTAGACACTTTCCACACTGAAGCTTTCTAGTAGCTCCTAGATGCAGACAGCAAGTCTTCTGCAATTCTCCTGTGCTACCTACACTTTAAACAATATGCTTGAGAAGCCAAAACAACATGGAAAATACCTTGCTTTAGTCTTTGTTCATAAGGAGTAAATCTGCCATATTTACAAGACAGATGCTGTTGTTTTAATTTGGTGGTGTTTACATCTTAAGAACACTTTACAGTCAAGGTAAGTCAAGAAATTTATTTAATTTTGATCTTACAATTACGCAAATCTGTACAATACCACATTTAACACTAGTGAATGTAGCAGATGTAACTTAGGATTTATGATGAAGAAATCAGGTTGGAAACAAGTCTATGGATGGCACAGTTCTCAGCTACAGTGTTGCTTCATATTCTGTCCATTGGAAAGATTCCCAGAAAGGAACAGAGTGGAAAGAAGTTATATTACTAACAGAAAACAGTAGCCATAGATATGGCTGTTTCTCTCACTGTCTGGAAAGTTATTTTAATACTATCTATGTGGTGAGCTTGCTATATAAAAGCCTTGAAGGAAACTAGTCTTACCAGTTCTATGTGTTTCTGAGTCAGTTAAGACAAGGATGTCAAATTTGTCACCAAAATTATCAGAAGTACGTAAACAAAATCAGCCCAAAGCTATAGAAATAGCAGATTCTCCCTTTTTGTGTTCCCCACCTGGAACACTGACTTTCAAATGGTTATAGATACATTTTCTCTCTGTCCTTTCGAAACAGGCTCAGAGTCTGAGAGAGCCTCTCAAAGCGGAATTCTGCAAGGACAACTCAGCCTAAAGTCCACATAGAAAACAGCTAGCCATAAGCACAGTAGCAATGCCCTTTTTTGCTCTATCCCTGAATGAACATATGAGGCTCTACTTAAGTCCTTGAGATAGAGCCAACTGAATGACTAGGTCCATTTTATCAGATTGCACCTGAAGAAAACTACATTGTTGTAACTCCGGCATTTTGGTGCTCATAGTCTATCATCTACTCTTAGGTATGATGCAAGTGTATTGGCTTCAGTTGAATTAAAATTTATTGTATAATGATAAATACAGCAATGCTACTCCGTGTTCAAGAAATTACACTGAACATTAGCATGAACGCTTACAAGAACCATGCTGCCATTAAACGTATTGTGCTATAGTAACTGAGAATTAAAAACATTTGATTTGTCATGCGTGGTCCCTAATATGGCCCTGTTAAAAACATGTCACCGTAAAAATTTAAAAGCTACTGTGATGCTTTTTTCAAACCATTTATATGCATTTTTCTTAAAACCTCACACTTAATCCAGTATCATATCAAGACTTTATCCTCTTAGCCAAATGTAAGCTCAGCTTAAAGGCTCGGAAGGCCATATTAATGCATAGCTTGTAAGTCAGTTGCAGCCTTCCTGCACATACAAGTAATGGCCAGTTTTACAAGGCTTGACCCTGCCAACTCATACTTGAGCAGTTCCACTGGAGTCTGCCTTACATGTGCAAGGGCTTGCAACATGGAGTCTTAAAGTGGGAACGCAAGCCTGTATGCGAGTAGAAATAAACCTGCAGACTTCAACATTAAGAAAATGTAGCATTTACTAAGATATATACATACCAAGCCATGTAATATGTACATATTCACAATCTTGTTCCAAGAAAAAAGAAGGGAAATCATTATAGCAACTTTCAAGAAGAGACTTTTTTTTTTTTTTTTTTTTTTTAAGTCCTGGTTCATTCAGCTTCAAGAAAACAAGACCCAAAACCCCGAATGTGTAATGTAAAATCCACCAAAACAAAGATATCTACAAACAGAATAATAAGGTGTGTGTGACTGGGGGGAGGGAGAGGCAGGCGGAGGGAACGCTTGCTCTGATTTTTCATCCCCATAACTCTTCTGTTCTTCCAAATTTGTAGATCAGAGTACTGTAAAAACAAAATAAAACCTTGCATACAATTTGGAAAGGTTACAATGAAGCCTAGGATATTTTAAAGTCAAGTTAAGTTTTGCACTTCATGTGGGAGGAAATGTAATGCAAATGTTGCTGCTTTATCAGAGGGAGTTGGGTTATACTTAGCCAATTTCAGAATTGGTTTTATATACATTCCATTCACTGTGCTTTCCTGGATAAATACGCTCTGGCTGGAGCTGTAGGGGAGTGCAAACCTCCAAAAGTACTGCTGCTCAACTATAAAGTGGCCAAATTGGTAACCTAATATGTAATCTTGCAACCTAATATGTAAAACAGCCCTTATTCCAGAGAACTGAAGGGTAACAAATGTTATATAAAGATTGTAGAGACAATCAATGGAATTCTGGACCAGCCAGCCTCCCATTTGGACCCAAATGGAACAATTCAATATAGAATTTGACCATCACAGTTTCTAAAAAGAAAAATCTTTCAGGCTTGGAACTCTTTGAACATGGCATGACATTCCTGGACAAAGGGGATCCAAATGACATTTCAGAATTCCAGTGTGCCTTTGACAAGGTTTTGCATAAGAAGCCACTAAAGAAATATTTACAAGTTAACAGAAAGTACTGTGTAAATCAAAACCTGGCTGGAGGAAAGAAAGCAAAAAATAGTAGGAAATAAGTCTTTCGCCATGATGACAATTGACCACTAGCAGCAGGATGCCCCAAGATGCTGGACCAAGTCCAATGTTTAAATATATTATTAGAAATGTACTAGGGTGTAATCAGTCAGGCAGTCAAATTTGCAGCTCAATTATTTGTCTTACTCAGGACTAGAAAACTATGAAGGACTTCAGAGAGAGCTAAGCAAGGTGAAGAAGCAACAATATTCAGCCTGAATTTTATCTGGCGTGGAGTAATGTATGCCAGAGGGAAAAATTTAGATGCTGCATACTCCCTTTACAGGGTTTCAAACTAACTAGCAACTCAGGAAAGAGTCCCATAGAGGGAATAACAAATCTCTTCTCAGGGAGCAGCTGCAAGCCAAAAACAACCAAATTGTTAGTTATAGAAGGGAAAGATGCCTGTTTACACATGAAGATGATAATGGCTATGTAAATAAATTGTGCAACCTCCTCCAGAATACCATGTGCACTATTGGTCATCTTCTCTCACAACTGCAAGTGTAGAATCACAAGGGGTCAGAAAACAGGTAATAAGATTCAATTATGTAGACTCAAAAGATTAGGACTGCTTGCCTTGGAAAGGAAATGAGTGAAAAGGGATAATATATTCATAAAACAACAACTTTTCTAAAGAGTGTAGACTGAGAACTTGCTGGTCTCCCATATGGCAAGTGCTATATTCCTTGAATACTGGACCTACCTCATATCTAGCTAGCTGTATGCTACTGCAAAGAGTATATAGCCAAATGGGAGGGCTGAAATGACTGGCCTAAGATAGAAAGCCAGATCTAGGGAACACAGTGAAACAGCAGTTTTAACTCATATAAAGCTACTGAAGGATAGTTAACTTGAAAGAGAGAGAGAGACAGAGAGAAAAGAAAGCTGATGGGTAACATTGACCATTAGTGATGTCATAAATATCAGTAAGGGGAAACTTGGATAAAATAAATGCTTTGGGGAAGGTTGTTAAGAGGTTCCAGTGAAGTGTGCAGGGAGCTGATAAAGATTCCCTCCTCACCTCAGTCTTACTTGGCGAGATATCTTTGGGCATCTTTACATGTGCTCCAGGGTGGAAGGAGGGTGCTTTAGTGACTCCAAGAACCGCT